TCACTAGCACATTGACTCTATCCACAATTAAAATTAAATAAGAGTAATTCAATATTCAATTCAACTAACAAGATCTCTTGTATCAAATGGTACTGCTGTACTATTGAATTCATTGCAACTAAACTGAAATTTAATTTTTCAAGAATAACAATAAATGATAGCTTTTTATAGCTTACTGCATCATCAATTTGATTCAAAGTATGTGATTTACTTGTTGATAAAACTAGTGATGTAACACTGTCAATAAACTATGAGAAAATTGTACTGGTCTTTGAATTAAGAGCTATCCATATTCACTTACTGTATCTATCTCAATATAAAGGAATATAGTCATTGATAGGAATGATAGTAGCAGTCCAAGTGTTAGAATACAGTACTATATACAGGAATAATGTCAGTGATACTACATACATTGTATTGAATCTACTCACTGTAGCATAAGTATATATGTGGTGCACTAGAATGCTACCAATTCCAAAGCTAGCTGTAGATATAGAAGAAAATAAGAATTTAATCATAATCTATACCTATTAATATCTGAAGTATTGAGATACATACCGGTATATGCATTGGTTAACAAAGAATGCATAGATAATTAACCTCGAATAAATCAATTATTAGCAAGTTAATACAAGAGATTGCAAGGACAACTTTACTTTAGCAACTAAGCATTGCAAAACGTAGAAAAACAGAAATTGATAATAAGAATTGATAAAATTGTGTAAAATTACAAAGATACTGGACATCCTCATTGAAATGACACATAAAGAAGAGTCCCAATAGTTTACTGCTGATAAAGCCACACAGTTCTCATTCTCTTCTAGTGAGTAGTGACAATAGAGACTAAATAAAGATAAAATAATGCAGTGTCTTTATAAAGCAAGCATTAGTAAAAGTCTATTGTGGGTTGCACTTAATCATATTCATTGCATGTATACAAGTACATGGATGTACTACAAATACAATATCAGAAAATAGATTCTACTCTATTAGTCTATAAAACAATGTCTACCTTAGTCTTGCTAGACAGACCATTCCCCAGCAGCCTACAGTCATTTTGGGTTTAAAGACTGTATATAGGCTATTGGGAAAGGTCTGGATAGCGTGATTATTAACTATGTTAATTAGTAAAGATCATAGATAATTCTAAATTAAGTAGTTCAATAGCTAATATTATGTCTCAGTCTAGGAATATCAGTTAATACATTAGGAATAACGTAATCACTGTTTGATCCACCTCTCTCTTCACCAGCCATCACATCCAACAAACCATGTCTCTTAAGATAAGACTGACTATCCACACTAAACTCATGAGGAGCTAATGAAGAACTAGCACTAGGGGAAGGAGAGAGAGGGGGAGGAGGGAGAAGTTGTGGTGGTGGCCGTGGGATGTTCTTGGTTAGGTATTTCTGTGATATGCTGTCAGCAATGTTCCACTGGTCATCAATAGTAGTATCAGTGGATTGGATGGAAGAGACATCAGTAGGACACCTGGACACAAGAGAGGAGAGGAAAATGTGAACCCAAAATTCCTGATTCAGGCATTTAGCATTTATACATGTACATGTACAATTGTACAGGCTTTCAAGAAACTTCAAAATTTCTTTAAAAAATCCAATTCACCATGTACTATAGTAGAGGGGTATGATCTGATTTTTGAGTAACTTTAAAAATTTGTAAAAATAAGAACTAGTTCAAACTTCCAATACAACATAAGTACAGGTACATGTATATGCACACACACACTCATGCATCAGAAAATGCTCTAAAGCATGTACTGCACTTACTGTATCTTAGGAAACGGCAGTAATGAGGTATCAGTGTATTTCCTGTCAGTGAATAAAGTGGGTGGAGTTAAAGGAGGAGGAGAAGCATCTAAGAAACTTTGTATACGCCTCTATAAAAACAACAACAACAACAACAATTTAATGATAATAAATAATAAAAGCCATTATACTAACATGTTCTTACTTTTGCTTCATCAACAAAAGCATCACGTTCGCTGTCATCATAGCAACTGGAAGCCACGCCCCCAAACCCGTCACTAAAGCTACCAAAACTCATTGTCCTATCGACTCCTGTTACCATGGAAACAGTATCGGAGAGCGTCCTTAGAGACCGAGGAGGAGAAAGGGAAGAGTCACACCCAGAACCGGCTTGTGTTGCTATGGAAACGCTGGAAGCTTTCTTATTAAAGTCAGACACTTGAATACTCCGATTGCAAGTGGGCGTGTCATTAAAAAGCAGACTCCGCCCAGTGTTAGTTGCTATAGTAACGGTACTCTTAGGTGTCATAATTTGAGGCGTCGATATTGATGATTTTGATGAGTCGACACTTCTGTGAGGATTATTGGTTGCCATGGTGATAGTGGGTGTGACTTTACGTACAACAGTTGGTGTAGTATCATTAGTGATGCTTTGATGAGGTTTATCTTCAAATAGCTCCCTTGCCTACAGTACATGAATAAAAATGAACAGAAGATGAAATATTAGAATACATTATGCTCATTAATTCTTCAAAAAAAGGACCCATAACTAATGCTTCTTAAAAAATGGCTCGAAATAAAAACCGATATGTACATGTACATGTAAAGCAAGAGACAACTCTGATTGATAATAATAAATAAATACACTGTACCTGTCTATAAACATTATTTATTAACAGCTCCTGTTCTACAAGTGATCGATGTTTTCTCTCCTCCTCCTCCTCCTCCTCTTTCTGACTCCTTTCACTGAAGACACTAACACAAGACAGGTCACTGTCCCTTTTAACAACAGTAGGAGGACCCTGTACCAAAAACAAACAACAACAACAACAACAATAATAATAATAATAATATTTACATGTACATTGTATACAAATGTAAAGTTTTAATGGAATTTATTAGCTACATGTACATATAAGTGACATTACACATCTGATACATGTAGATTAATAAAATACCAAATTAATAAAAATTAACTTCACTTAATTAACTCTTTTCAATTAAGAAAAAGACGTAAAACGATAAGTAAACAACATGTACATGTATGTATATAAGTGATTTAAAAACCTCTCAATGTAATACGTCAATTCAAACTGTACATGATACTATAATTATTATTTTAATATTATTCTTACGTTTGGGGTCAGGTTCAGTTGAGGAAGTGGTAAACTCTCATCGTGATAGTTTCTCCGTTGCCATTGGAGACTGACGGAGGTGAGGAGGGTGTGGCCAGCCATACCATCCATCACTGGCATCAAATAGGAACTCAAATACTCGTCAGAAAACTACAAAAATAATTATAAAATAAGGAAAAATTTGAACATTATTTTTTCCTACATGTAAACTCACTTTTAGTGTTTCAGTTGATGTCATGTGCCATGCCCACTCTAGACGTTCAGGTGACCATGCCCACACCTGGTAGTCATGGCGACGAGGAAGGAGGAGGAGGTAGGACCCGTTGTGGTTTACTTTATGAAGAGAAGGAAAATGAGAGAAATGGAGTAGCATAGACCAGACTAATGGATGGGATATTGATACTTCACTTATCCAACTGGAGGAGAGAGAGGGAGAGAGGGAGAGAGAGAGAGAGAGAGGGAGGGAGAGAGGGAGAGAGGGAGAGAGAGAGAGAGAGAGAGAGGAGAGATGACAAATTAACTATATATATCATTATACTCTATGCATATTAATTCTCACACTCCAATTAATGGCAGAGTGCGGGAGTGGACATCACTGTGCAACAGAGGAACAAGTCTTCGTGTTTGGTTCATTGTTAAAAAACTAAAAATAAAACAAACAAAATGTATTGTGCAAGCACAAGTAATTTTGATGGATCATCATTCAAAAATTTAAGAGAAGAAACATACCGTACAACAGAAAATTTTAGAGGATAAAATTTGGCAAATTTGGCATTTTGATAGCCATTCGCTGAAATAAAAATCCGCCATTTTGAGCCATTATACGCATGCTCAATGGTACGTGGCCACAAATTCGCCAAATTAAAAATTCGCCAATCACCAAAATTTAGCAATTCGCCAAATTTTAGTTCCTACAAAATGTCCCGCTATACATATACATGTATGTGCATGTACATGTACATTTGCAATAAGAATTAATATACACATACCCACTCCTCACTCGTCCCTGCAGTGTTGAGAGAGGCTGTGGTCCAATGAGATTGGAGCTGAGTGGAGTAGAGAGAAGAGGAATGGCACGTATGGGCGTGGCTATAATGGAGGATGAAGGGAGGACACACCCACCTATAATGAGAAAATAATTAATTAATAATGATATAAATGTACATCTAAATGTACATGTACAATCTATGAACATTTGAATCATGTGAAACTTGAAAAATTGAAGTCGGAATCAGCTCAAACTTGCTACACAGCATAAGTACATCAATATGTATCAGAAAATGTAATAAAAATTTGGCATGATTTCGGAGCCATTTTTTGGAAAAAACCATGGGCTATAGCCTTGGGTACTTTTCAGAATTTTGGCAATTTCTTAAAATGGCCGTAACTTTAAAAAATGAAGTCGGAATCTCCTCAAACTTGCTACACAGCATAAGGACATCAATATGTATGAAAAAATGTAATAAAAATTTGATGTGATTTCGGAGCCATTTTTCGGAAAAAACCATGGGCTATAGTACAGGGATTTTTTCAGAATTTTGACATTTTCTTAAAATGGCCATAACTTGAAAAATTTAAGTCGGAATCAGCTCAAACTTGCTACACAGCATAAGGACATCAATATGTATGAAAAAATGTAATAAAAATTTGATGTGATTTCGGAGCCATTTTTCGGAAAAAACTATGGGCTATAGTACAGGGATTTTTTCAGAATTTTGACGTTTCTTAAAATGGCCGTAACTTGAAAAATGAAAGTCGGAATCAACTCAAACTTGCTACACAGCATAACGTAACGTAAGTTACATTAACATTACGTAAGTATATGTAATAATTATAATAAACAAATAATAATTAACTTACTAATAACATGTATTGATTCATTTTGGACGAATATGCTCACCCTCAATGACAAAAGGTGATAAAAATGAAGCAGTGAAGTATTACTTTTCGATATCAAGTTATGATAAATATCGTTAATCGATTCTTTCAACTGAACCATGTTATGAGACAAGTGGCCTTCGGTATTAATAACTCCTTTTAATAACTAGCAAAACAATGAGAGAAAAAATTACATCTAAAATACAATATGGTGGTGATGCTACTGTTACTGCTGTTTTATTGATTTAAAGTTTGTTAAAATAAAAAATAAAAATGATAAAAAATAATACTAAAATAAAAGATAATAATAATAATAAAATAACATAATAATAATAATAATAATAATAATAATAAAATAACATTATAATAATAATAATAATAATAAAATAAAAAATAAAAATAATAAATAATGCTAAAATTAAAAAATATTGAATAAATAACATTAAAATAAAAAATAAAAATAAGAAAAGTAACATTAAAATAATAATAAATAATACTAAAATTAAAATTTAAAAAAATCATAAAATACTAAAATTAAGAAAAATACTAAATTAAAAAAAACAATAATACTAAAATTAAAAATTAAAAAAATAAATAATTACTTTGCAGGGTATTGGTATTTCATCAGGTAGTATTGTGATTGGTATCAGTCTCTCAGACTCCACCCACTTCCCAGGATCAAAACGACTAACTTCAAACACAACTGTATCATCTATCAACAATATTAATTAAAACAATTATTAATTAAAATAAATCATTATTCATTTTTGTTTACTTTTGTTTACGATGGGCGTCGCCATTAAGAAACCTTCCTGTTGCCACGGTGACTGACGGTTGGCATGACATATGGCCATCTTAATTGTAGCAGCGTTAACCTTCAACTGTAGCCATCTTGAGAGAGGGACAGAGACAGAGAGAGGGAGAGAGAGAGGAAAAAATAAACGGAGATGAATTAAAATAAAAAAGAAGAGGTCATATATGTTTATAAACCACAATAATTAAAACAACAATATTTAAACTGTGCCCAATACAAATTCTTAATTTACAAGTATAATATTTAATTATAATTATTACAGTTTAATTTAAGTAATTAATATTCATACCCAGCTGTTGTCAAATGAAGTGATAGTGTATCTCCTATATTAGAAGTATCCCTAAAATAATAATAATAATAATAACAATATTATTGACAACCAAAAAGGTTGTACTAACCAAAGACAAGCTCCTGACGGAGGGAAAGACACTGTAGACATTTTCCTTTGTTTACTTTATTCTACGCATGCGCAAATGTCACACCCCACGTTTTTCCTCGTGGTACACCAAGCACGTTTTTGCACGTGTTTAAAGTATCCGCTTGCTTGGTTTGTTCGGTAAACTCTTAGTATACGGAGGTTGATGCAATAAAGGGCTATTAAAGGCTCGACATGTGTGCGGCAAAGGAGCTACCAACTTTAACTGTAAAGAGACAAAGAAATAAAGAGCTACAATACTACCCTTCCTCTCCTCTCTTTATAGGGAGCCAGGTATAAGACGAGGAAGAGAGATGAAAAGGTCAAATATGACGCTGAATCATTCGCTGATACTGTTATTAGTAAACTGAACGAAACTGATGGCTCACCAGAAGCACTCTCCTCCGTTTTAGCTAAAGAAGGAGAGACACTGGACTATCGGTGAGACACGACTGTGACCACAGTACATGTACAAGGGGGTTTTACATGTACATGTATTAAGGGGTCTGGGACAGTTTAAAGTTTACGTAGGGTCGGGATAATTTTTATGACATTATAAAATTTAATTTTTAAATTTTATTTGGCGACAATTGAAGCAATTTATAAGTACATGTACATGTACTTCACATTCATAACATTATTATTGTTATTATTATTATTATTATTATTATTATTATTATTATTATTATTATTATTATTATTATTATTATTATACAGTCGTTATGCTGAGTCGTTATTGGAGATATTAATAGCTGGTGGTATTCTTGCCCCTGGGGGGAAGGTGGAGTCAGACCCGCCCTCATCATTTTGTGTGTTTTCAGCCACACCCACTGTCACTGGCTTGAAACTATACCTGCAAGTAAGCAACTGTACATGTATTTTTAATTATGTGTAATATTCGCAATTGATGGTTCCATGAAGAAATCACCAAGTCAGCCATTTTGTTTTGATTTGAGTATGCTAAATCATTCATATTGACATACATCATATATGATATGTACATGTACATTGTATGATCTCTCTCTCTCCCTCTCTCTCTCTCTCTCCCTCTCTCTCTCCCTCTCTCTCTCTCTCCCTCTCTCTCTCCCTCTCTCTCTCTCTCTCTCTCTCTCTCTCCCTCTCTCTCTCCCTCTCTCTCTCCCTCTCTCTCTCCCTCTCTCTCTCTCCCTCTCTCTCTCCCTCTCTCTCTCTCTCCCTCCCTCCAGGTTCTAACTAATCTATTACGTAGATATCGTTACCTTCAAAAGCAAGTTAAAGACGCCGTCAGTAAAGTTATTAATTATTTAAAAGCTTTCACTAAATCTCAGAGACAATGCCTTGCCATATACACAGCACTGTGTATTACTGAAGGTAATAATACACAGTACTAGCAATAAGATATTTATGTATTACTTATTATACAGCTGGTGATTAGAGATGGGTTTTGAATAGTCATTAATCAAAATAAAACCAGCTATTGTGTGTGTCATTATGTGTATGCTCAATGGCACATGGCCACAAGTTTGCCAAGTATACTTAATACTTAGACTAACTTGGTATACTTGTATTATTAATTTTACTGGAAATTTGACCCCCTTCCGTCCCTCTAGGAATCCTAACTCAAGATGTCATTAATAATTTATTTTTAAATGTTCTCTGTGCTGAACACTTGATGAAGGAGGACCTTGGCCTATCGTTCACAATAGTCTTGTTTCGTACTTGGATTGAGGAGAAAGGAATCATTAATGTTGGATCAGTATTGAGGAAGACTAAACTGGAGAATCAACTACTGGTTAGTTAACTTTAATATAATAACTAGCAATAGTTAATTGAGTGAAGCCTCAGTATAAAATGTAAGTATATTGATATAAGTGGGATATAAAAGTACATACATGCACATGTACAGTTTGAGTTTATTGAAGCAAATTCTTAATGTTTTACTGTATACCATGAAATTTATGCGACAAAAAATTTGCGAATCTTACATTTCTAAAATTTCATGAAATAAATTTTTGTGAATAGCTTGCAAACTGCACCACATGGCAATTTATTTATTCATTTATTTATTTATTTTAGAATATTTTGCCTCTCTCAAAAAGAACTGAGGAAAATTTTGACAAACACTTCACTGAAGCTGGTCTCCATGAACTAGTGACGTTTAGAAAAGCTCAACAAAATATTAGAATAAAGAAGAAACTGAAGGGAGAAATTGGTATGTTTATTATTATTATTATTATCGTTATTATTATTATTCAATGTTAATGAGAGAGAAAAGGTCAACGAAAAGAAGAGAAATTAGTATTAATGTTGTTGTTGTTGTTGTTGTTGTTGTTGTTGTTGTTGTTGTTATTATTATTATTATTATTATTATTATTATTATTATTAATAGATGATTATCTTGAGAATGAGACGGAGTCCTCCATTATCATTGATCACATTCAAGAGGTGCTGGAGTCCTCCACACTAACTGAAGTACATACAGTGACACTGCTCTGGAAGAGTGTGATGGATACTGGGGACTGGAGCAAAGTGGAGGGACAATCACTCATTGACCAGCTGGAGAAGCACCTTGAGGTAATAGCTCCATATGCCACAGGGCGCCTTTTTTGAGGGGGCTTTAAATTTCACAAATTGGCCTAAAAATCTATTTTGCAGATTTAATTTTCACAAATTTATGCCATCTGCTATCTTGTACCGTAATAATTTAATTTTTGCCAAAGCAATTTTCGCAAATCTTCAAAAAAGGCACCCTACAGTAGTTGCTCAAAAACCAAGCCAAAGACCATGGGCTATAGTACAGGGTATTTTGTCAAAAATGGCAAGGAGAGAATTCTCCATTTTTATGATTTTTTCTGATGCATATACATGTTTTTATGTTGTATGGAAACTTTGAGCTAATTCCGATCGAAATTGGATTTTTAACGAATTTTTAAAGTTACTTAAAAATCTGGTCAAAGTCCCTGTACTACAGGGTATTTTAGTAATAATAATTACATGTATGTATTTTGAATTTCATTTTGAGTTCTCTTTCTTTTTTTAAATTATTTTTACTAGAAATATTCGTCTCTTTTTGATCCGTTTTGTGAGCGGGGTACCCCACAGCTGATGCTAATGAGAGAGATACAGAGCTATTGTGCCAAATCTCCAGTTTTTATTAACCTATTCCCAAGAATAATATTACATTTTTATAAAAGTTAGTAAAAGAGAGAGAGATGCAAGCTACAAACATTTACACATAATTAAATTAATTTTTATCAAAGTGGGTGTGGTAGTTAAAGTTATATGACCACACCTCTTTATGTATAGAGGATCTGATATCTGAACAGGCCATACTGAAGTGGTATAAAGATGCTTTCCTTCCTGATAAAAAAGATACTTTTCTATCGCAGATGAATAAAATGGTTGAATGGCTAAAGACAGCTGATGAAGAATCTGATGATGGTAACTGATCTATATGTACATGTAGGTACATGTATATTTTATATTTTATGTGTACATGTACATGTAAATGTGTACTTGTGTGATGATGTGTGTATTAACTTTTAAGTCTATACTCATTGAAATGTTCATGTTGATATTATTAGTGTTAGTATCAATGTTAATGTCAGTATCTGTGTTAATATCAGTGTTATTATCTGTGTTAATGTCAGTGTTAGTATCTGTGTTAATATCAATGTTACTATCAATGTTAATATCAGTGTTACTATCAGTGTTAGTATCAGTATTAGTATTTGTGTTAATGTCAGTGTTGGTGTATTTGCATGGTGCCGTTAGTTGGTAATAAAATTGTTTTTTTTCTTTCATTTTAAACTAGATCATCATGGTCAGTAATAATTATTGAAGACTCAACAACTGATCAAGTTTATGTATTTTGTTTATTTATCATAATTATAATGTACTTTTAAATTTAATTTTGTTTATTAAAATAAATACAATACGACCAATCAGCATAGTACAAGAATTATTTACACCCACACACGTGTACCTGTATATGATGTAATGGATTGAATGAGGGAGAGAGTCTACTATTGAGTAATGAAGAAGAAGTTAAATGCACATGTAGTCCACTATTATTGATGTACATGTACAAGTAGTAGAGCATGTATAGGCCAGACTGTCAATTGGTGATGGGACAATTAACTACATCTAGCTAGTGGAGTGTTGATGCTGTGTGCTCTTAACAACTTCTACTACAAGTTTATTAGCACACATGAATATCGTTAATTTTAAATGTCAAAGCAATTCATGTGTGCTGTCATGCTGATACCCACCCACGTAACGAATATGATTATGTTCCATAGCAACAGAGAGTGACAACACAATCATTTAGGAAGAGAGGCTCTACAGGAATTGATCAAGGAAGAGGGAAATGTGTGCAGCAAAGGAACTTCCAACTTTAGCTGTAAATTACATGTCAGAAACTATTGCTCCTACCCCTCTCTTTTTTAGGGCTCTAGATATAAGATAAGGAAGAGAGACAAAAAGAAAAAGTATGCATTAGAGGAAGAGCATGTACGTACAAATGCACAGTGTACTTCGAACTTAAACTTCTCCTTTTTGTAGGGAGTTAGATATGAGACAAAGAATACAGATGAAAAAGCCTTGAGTGAGTTTGACACAAAAACAATGGATCCTCTTCCAACTTCAAGTACAAGTGTAAGAGATAAAATTATTATGAGCAAAAAGAATAATACAATGTTTATCCTCCCCTCTCTCTCTCTTCCGCAGGAAGTTAAAATATATGTTAAATATGTAAAGTTTTATGATAATTTTCTTTTCCTCCTCTCTTTATAGAAAGTTAAAAACGATACAAAGACAGATGAAAAAGCCAAGAGTGAGTTTAGCACGCCAGTAAAGGAGCCACTGCCAGTTTTAAATGTAAATTAACTGACTAATAAAAAATTACTGATTAATAAAATGTAACCTCTAGGTACCTTATAAATTTAAGACAAGGAAGAGAGACGAAAAAGTCAAGTATGACGCTGAATCATTTGCTGATACTGTCATTAGTAAACTGAACGAGACTGATGGATCACCAGAAGCACTCTCCACTGTTTTAGCTAAAGAAGGAGAGACGCTGGACTATCGGTGAGACACGACTAAGACCGTGGTACATGTACAGTACAAGGGGGTTTACATGTACTTGTATTAAGGGGTCTGGGACAGTTTAAAGTTTACATAGGGTCGGGAGTTTAACTTGTGTACCATAATTGTATATGCATGTATCAGATAATTTATATTATATTATAAATTATATAAGAATTAATTTTTTCTTTTTATTTGGCGACAACTAAAGCACTTCCCAAGTACATGTACATGTACTTTATTAAATTATTATTATTATTATTATTATTATTATTATTATTATTATTATAGTCGTTATGCTGAGTCGTTATTGGAGATATTAATAGCTGGTGGTATCCTTGCCCCCGGGGGAAAGGTGGAGTCAGACCAGCCCTCATCATTCTGTGTGTTCTTAGCCACACCCACCGTCACTGGCTTGAAACTATACCTGCAAGTAAGCACATGTACTGTACATGTATGTTTAATTATGTGTAATATTTGCAATTGATGGTTTCATGAAGAAATTGCCGAAATATTCTTTTTTTAGGTCAGCCATTTTGTTTTGATTTGAGTATGTTATGCTCAATGACATGTCACAAAATGTCCTACCAGACAAATTTTACTATATCAATCTTTTTGACATAACATGTACATGTACATTACACGATCTACTCTCTCTGTCTCTCTCTCTGTCTCTCTCTCTCTCTCTGTCTCTCTGTCTCTCTCTCTCTCTGTCTCTCTCTCTTCCTCCAGGTTCTCACTAATCTATTACGTAGGTATCGTTACCTTCAAAAGCAAGTTAAAGACACCATCAGTAAAGTTATCAATTATTTAAAAGCTTTCACTGAACGTCAGAGACAATGTCTTGCCATATACACAGCATTGTGTATTACTGAAGGTAATAATACACAATACTAGCAAACAACATATTACTTATTATACAGCTGGTGATTTGGGATGGGTTTTGAATAGTCATTAATCAAAATAAAACCAGCTATTGTGTGTGTCATTAGACGTATGCTCAATGGCACTTGGCCACAAGTTTGCCAAGTATACTTAATACTTAGACTAACTTGGAATACTTGTATTATTAATTTTACTGGAAATTTGACCCCCTTCCGTCCCTCTAGGAATTCTTACTCAAGATGTTATTAATAATTTATTTTTAAACGTTCTCTGTGCTGAACACTTAATGAAGGAGGACCTCGGCCTATCGTTCACAATAGTCTTGTTTCGTACTTGGATTGAAGAGAAAGGAATCATTAATGTAGGATCAGTATTGAGGAAGACTAAACTGGAGAATCAACTACTGGTTAGTTAACTTTAATATAATAACTGGTATTGTATATCTTATAGTAAGGACAGTCTGTTACTTTATTTAAAATCTATTTACTGCTTTATTTATGTACTTTATTTGTTAGTTTGTTTGTTTATTTATTCATTTTTAGAATATTTTGCCTCTCTCAAGAAGAACTGAGGAAACTTTTGACAAACACTTCACTGAAGCTGGTCTCCATGAACTAGTGACGTTTAGAAAAGCTCAACAAAATATTAGAATAAAGAAAAAACTGAAGGGAGAAATTGGTATGTTTATTATTGTTATCATTATTATTATTATTATCATTATTATTATTATTATTATTATTATTATTATTATTATTATTATTATTATTATTATTAAAAGATGATTATCTTGAGAATGAGACGGAGTCCTCCATTATCATTGATCACATTCAAGAGGTGCTGGAATCCTCCACACTAACTGAAGTACATACAGTGACACTGCTCTGGAAGAGTGTGATGGATACTGGGGACTGGAGCAAAGTGGAGGGACAATCACTCATTGACCAGCTGGAGAAGCACCTTGAGGTAAAGCTGCATATAGTTGCTCAAAAATTGAGCCAAAGACTATGGGCTATAGTACAGGGTATTTTGTCAAAAATGGCAAGGAGAAATTTCTCTATTTTTATAATTTTTCTTGATGCATATACAAATGTACATGTACTTATGTTGTATAGAAAGTTTGAGCTAATTCTGATCGAAATTGGATTTTTAACAAATTTTTAAAGTTGCTCAAAAATCTGGTCAAAGTCCCTGTACTACAGGGTATTTTAGTAATAATAATTATGTGTATTTTGAATTTCATTTTGAGTTTTCTTTCTTTTTTTAAAATTATTTTACTAGAAATATTCGTCTCTTTTTTATCCGTTTTGTGAGCGTGGTACCCCACAGCTGATGCTCATGAGAGAGATACAGAGCTATTGTGCCAAATCTCCAGTTTTTATTAACCTATTCCCTAGAATAATATTAAATTTTTATAAAAGTTAGTAAAAGAGAGATGTATGCTAGGCTACATACATGTATGCATAATTGAATTAATTTTTACAAAAGTGGGTGTGGTAGTTAAAATTATATGACCACACCTCTTTTTATATATAGAGGATCTGATATCTGAACAGGCCATACTGAAGTGGCATGAAGATGCTTTCCTCCCTGATAAAAAAGATACTTTTCTATCACAGATGAATAAAATGGTTGAATGGCTGAAGACAGCAGATGAAGAATCTGATGATGGTAACTAATGTACATGTAGGTGTATTTTATATTTTATGTGTACATGTACATGTAAATGTGTACTTGTGTGATGATGTGTGTATTAACTTTTAAGTCTATACTCATTGAAATGTTAATGTCGATATTATTAGTGTTAGTATCAATGTTAATATCAGTGTTAATATCAGTGTTAGTATCAGTGTTAATATCAGTGTTAGTATCTGTGTTAATATCAGTGTTAGTATCTGTGTTAATGTCAGTGTTGTATTTGCATAGTATCGTTAGTTAGTGAGTTGAAGTTGTTTTTTACTTTTAAACCTAGATCATCATGGTCAGTAATAATTATTGAAGACTCAAACTGTTGAAGTTCATGTATTTTGTTTATTAATTATTATTTATCATAACCAGATAATTAATGATGTACTTTTAAATATAAATTTTGTCTATTAAAGGCACATTTGTTGCATTGCATCCCATCAATATTTGAATTCAATTCATGATGATATGAATACAATTGCTACCATGGTAACAAACCAACAACACTTTTTTCTTTACCAGCAGAATGGAGGAGACAGGCGATAATAGGAAGCTTTATGAGCTACAAGAGTATGATAATGTTGGCAGCTTCCCTGAACCTTATGATGAAGTGATCAAGGCTCCTGACAAACCTACAGGAGGGAAGCTGCAGTTTGTTGTAATAGCAATACAAGTGATACAACTGATTGTTATTATTGTAGCTGCAATTGCTATACTGTATCAGTTGTACGGTAATACTTCTTGTGATTCAACCACGTCGAATCCTGCCATTTCAAATGATAATGTCCTCACTGATCTTGCTAATACCAGCACTAATACACAGTATGCTGTCAAAGAAGTGTCTCAGATTATGTTAGCAGAGATAGAGAGGAGGTTGAATGATACAGAATTGTTGAATGAGCTAATCAAAACTACTGATACATCTTTAAGACTAACAGAAAGGGTTTTGTTAAACATTGGAACTAATTTTGACGAGGAAAGAGAATACCAGTTCAATAGTACGGAGTTATTGAATCGTCTTCTTAATGGAACTAGTGCATCTGCTTCAAAACTAATGAACATTGTCAATACTCTTTCTAATCTACAAGATACCTGTACCTCTACAGCTGGAGTGGCTGATGATATACTACTAATAGCACAAGAACTATTAGTACTACACAATGAATCAGCTGCTTTACCTACCTCTTGTAAGCAACTACATGAACAACAACCTAGCAGTCCATCAGGTTATTATATACTGGCAGGTACTTATACTGGAACATTTTCTACATACTGTAATATGGACACATTGTGTGGTTCAGAAGGAGGATGGACAAGAATAGCGTATCTGGATATGACTGATGCTACACAGAACTGTCCTTCTGGGTTTAGACAGTACCAGTCAGGAGGAGTTAGAGTTTGTGGTAAAACTAACAGTGGTCCTGGTTGTAGTGATCCTGTTAAATACCCATCTCATGGTATTAGTTATTCTCAGATATGTGGTAGAGTAACAGGATATCAGTGGGGTCATGTTGATGGCATTGATGGACCAAATGATATAAATTCTTATTACCTTGATGGTGTTAGTATCACTCGTGGGTCTCCTCGTCAACATGTCTGGTCCTTCTTAGCTGAAGATAGTCAAAGTAGCTGTCCATGTGCCAGTGGTAATTCTGGATCAGTTCGTTCATTTATGGGTAGCAATTGGTTCTGCGAGTCTGGTAATCCTAATCCTAGTTGGAGCTATACTCTCTACACATCTGATCCACTCTGGGATGGTCAAGGCTGTGGTGGTGCTGAAGGTCCTTGTTGTAGTGCTCCTGGTATCCCATGGTTTCACAGAAACTATGGTAGCACTACCACTACTGACTATATTGAGTTCAGGATATGTGCTGATGGTGGCTACAGTATCGAAGATAGTCCTCTTAGCTTTTATGAGATATATGTAAAATAGAGACTTGATGCTTTTTGTTTCAGTGCTGAAAACTGCTTTTTAGAAACCTTAGGCTAAACTTATGCTGTGCTATATATCTTTACATTCTTTAATAATGCTATAACAAAAATGTCTATGAATTTTGACAGCAAACAAGCTGCAAATGCATCATGGCCACACTGTTTACTGTCTTTGTAATCAGTGGTGTGACACCTTATAGTATTATTCATGAGTGTAACACGAAGCTCTGTTTACTAATAATAGAGACTACAGTACATGAATATGATAAAAACGCTTCTTTTTTGCAATTGCTTGCTTGAATTCTTGTCTAAGTCATGGAGACAGATGATGATAGAAAGCTTTATGAGTTACAAGAGTATGATAATGATGGTGGCTTCCCTGAATCTTATGATGAAGTAATGAAGATTCCTGACAAACCTACAGGAGGGAAGCTACAGTTGGTTGTAATAGGAATACAAGTGATACAACTGATTGTTATTATTGTAGCTGCAATTGCTATACTGTATCAGTTGTACGGTAATACTTCCTGTGATTGCTCTCCTAATGCTTTTGTTACTTCAAATGATAATGTCCTCACTGATCTTGCTAATACCAGCACTAATACACAGTATGCTGTGAAAGAAGTGTCTCAGATTATTTTAGCAGAGATAGAGAGGAGGTTGAATGATACAGCAATGTTGAATGAGCTCCTAATATCTACTGATGTATCTACTCAAACAATGCTCAATGCTATAATTGATGTCACCACTCTTGCTAATGCTACTAATGGTGCTGTTGATACTTCAACTGAGTCTGTTCTCGATGCCATTTTCAATGTTGCTACTCTTGCTAATGCTACTAATGGTGCTGTCGATTTTTCCACTCAATCTGTTCTCAATGCCATTTTCAATGTCAATCGTGTTGCCAATATCACTAATGAAAAGCTCTCTAGTCTCATGACAGCTGTTGAGAACATTTTGATCAAAATTGGAGCAAATTTTGCCGAGGAACGAGAATACCAGTTTAACAATACGGAGTTATTGAATCGTCTTCTTAATGGAACTAGTGCATCTGCTTCAAAACTAATGAACATTGTCAATACTCTCTCTAATCTACAAGACACCAGTACTTCTACTGCTGGAGTGGCTGATGATATACTACTAATAGCACAAGAACTACTGGAGCTACACAATGAATCAGCTGCTTTACCTACCTCTTGTAAGCATCTACTAGAACAACAACCACTCAGTCCATCAGGTTATTATATACTGGTAGGACCTACTGGAACATATTCTACATACTGTAATATGGGAACATTGTGTGGTTCAGCAGGAGCATGGACAAGATTAGCATATCTAGATATGTCTGATGCTGCACAGAACTGT